TACTTCAGTTTAGAAGTCACCTCATCTTCTTCATCCGCACTGATATGATGCGTTGTGGCTCTATTTATGAGGATTCTTATGGGTTTCGGCTGAACGTAACCCAACCCTGTATGTCCTCGAAGATTGATCTGCTTCGATGGTCCTTCTCCACCAGCTCCTGGAATGAGTTTTCCTAACTTCTGTTCATTAGGATTATACCCAGCCTTGGCCAGAAGTTTGTATGCATTTGGGTCAAATCCTTCATTAGTGCGTGCTTTAGGGATTTGAAACTCCTTAACATCATCCTTGTGCTTTCTTTCTTCCTCAGACATGTCTTGAGGAGGCCTTGATATCTCGATCTTTGCAAGAGGGAACGTAAGCCCTTCTATGCCTTCAACAACTTTCTCTTTCAGCTTTGGTTGAGTCAAGGGGCGATATACTTCTTCCTGTCTAATATCGTCTTCTTTAGAAATTTTGGCCTTCTGGTAAAACTTTGCATCTGCAAAGTATGTCTCGGCTTCTGTGAATGGAGTTTCATCGGCCACTACCTTCTTTACAACACTGTTCTCCTCATACATGAAGCATTGGTGCCATGTTGAAGGAATCACACCGTTCTCATGGATCCATGGACGACCTAGAAGGAGATTATATGAATCTTTTGCATCAATGACGTGACATAAAGTACTTGCCTTCAACCCGCCAATGACCAAATCAAGACGGATCATTCCAATCGCTCTTTGCCCCCCTTGATTAAAGCCTTGAATCATTAAGTGACTTTGGGAGAGTTCATCCATTGATATATCAAGATCTTTCATAGCTCGAACCGTTAAGATGTTAACAGCAGACCCTTGATCTATCATAATTCTTCTGAATCTTCGTCCACGAGTGTATCCTTCAACAAAAAGCGGACGGTTATGGGGAGTAGCACCCAACATAAGATCTTCATCTTTAAAGACAATGTCAGTGGCGTATGAAGTAGATCTTTGTGCTCCAGCCACCTCCTCTTTATTCGAAACTGGAGATAAACCCCTATTTGAACTCTCAACTTCTTTTTCATGGGTGCTAAGGCAAGAACCCGATATTTGAGTTTTCTTGCTTTTGAAATCCTTTGGCATATAATCGTTGAGAGTAATTACTCTTCGTGCAACCTTGGGACGAACATGATCCTTCCTTTGCTTCCTTTTCTTCAATTCATTTATCGGTTGTCGCCTAACCCATGATTCTTCCTTTGTTTCTTTCGAGTTATCAAGATCCATGGTCTCCCTTTGTCATCGACATCCTCAAGTGCCATTCTTTTGGTGAGAGGCGGACATCCTTTCATTCCCTTGACAATAAAAGGGAGCTTATGCTTGTGAGAATTTAGGTCATCGTCGACCATGAGCGGAGCAAACCTACCAAATGTAATGGTAATTTGATTTGTGCTTGCTGCAGAATCAGCAAGTTCAATCTTTCCATCACGGGCTAAAGCCATAATCTTGTCTTTGAACACCCAACACTTCTCTATTGGGTGACTCAACACTCTATGATATTTGCAGTACTTAGGATCATTGACCTTTGTAACTTCCTCGGGTCGTTTTGACTGAGGTAAATCAACAAGTTTCAACCTCGTTAGTTCATCAAACATTGGAGAAACATCTGATTCCAAGAAAGGATATTGCTTCTCCATCATCTCTCGCAAAGTCGGCTTGACACGCCCAGAGGTTTCAGGTTCAACTCTAGCAACCTTCTTTGCCTTCTCGGTAGTTTGAGTGAAGACTTTGACTGTGAAGCTTTCACAACCATCGCTTCTTTCTTCTCAAATTTAGAGAAGGGCTTGCCCCCTTTCTTGGTATCTTGCTTTTCAGCGGCATTGTTCATGGGATATATGCACATGGTTTGTCTTCCACTACTTGCAATGCTCAACTCCATGTTTCGAGCTTTGCTTGCTAATTCATCGAAAGTAGTTGGATTCACTCCTTTCAGAATATAACATAACTCCCAATGCATGCCATAAATGCACATATCAATTGCAGAGTTTGTAGAGATCCGATCTTTGCAGTTGAGGGCAAGTTCCCTCCAACGTTCAATGTAGGTTATCACGGACTCATCTTTCCACTGGCGAGTAGTTGTCAACTCAAGCAAACTAACCACCCCCCTTGTGCTATAGAAACGGTTTAGGAACTCACGTTCCATATCTTGCCAGCTGTCAATGGAACCGGACTCCAAGTCAGTATACCAATCAAATGCATTTGCTTTCAAAGAGCGCACAAATTGTTTGACCAGGTGATCCCCACCCGTTCTTGCATTATTGCAAGTTTCTACGAAGTGGGCAACATGCATGTGGTTCAAACAATTTGTGCGCTCTTTGAAAGCAAATGCATTTGATTGGTATAAAAAGCTTTTACGAAGTGGTTCAAAAATTGTTTGACTATCTTCTACGAAGTGGGCAACATGCATGTTGTCTCGGATTTGATATATTGGACCGACTCCTCAGCGCCGCCATCCTCATATTGAGACAGGCGTCCAGTGCCTCATCCTCATATTCAGACCGGCTCATCAGCACCGTCGTCCTCATATTCAGACTGGCTCCTCAGCGCCATCGTCCTCATGTTCAGACAGGCGTACGCCGCCTCGTCCTCATATTGAGATATAGCGAACATCTTGCGGTCTCCGGCTGAAAGGCTAAAGGAGCCCAGAGTTCAGCCACAGGCCCATCGGCCACATATCCCTCCGTCATATTTATTTGATGTCGCGAAGCTCATTTACAGACCCATCGGCTATATATCACTCCATCATCTTTATTTGATGACGTGAAGCTCATTTTCGGGCTCATCAGCCATATATCACTCCGTCATCTTTATTTGATGATGCGAAGCTCATTTACAGGCCCATCGGCCATATATCACCCCGTCATCTTTATTTGATGATGTGAAGCTCATTTACAGGCCCATCGACCATATACCGCTCCGCCATCTTTATTTGATGACGCGAAGCTCATTTTCAGGCCCATCGGTCATACCTCGCCCCGTCGTCTTTATTTGATGACGTGGGGCTCTCATATAGGCCTCTCGGCCATACGTCGCCCCGTCATCTTTATTTGATGACGTGGGGCTCTCATATAGGCCTCTCGGCCATACGTCGCCCCGTCATCTTTATTTGATGACGTGGAGCTCTCATATAGGCCTCTCAGCCATACATCACCCCGTCATCTTTATTTGATGACATGGAGCTCTCATACAGGCCTCTCGGGCGTACATCGTCCCGTCATCTTTATTTGATGGCGTGGAGTTCTTATATAGGCCCATCGGCCATATATCGCCCCGTCATCTTTATTTGATGATGTGAAGCTCATCATACCGGCCACTTGGCCGTCTCTTCTGGTCATCTTTATTTGATGGCTTGGACTTCTTATAGGCCTTCCGGCCACATGTCTCGGTCACTTTTTTTGATGAACCGGACATCATATTATGGACGGTCGCTCGACCCATCCCTTAGTCATCTTTATTTGATGACTAGGACTACTTATCATGATGAGCTACCCAAATCTAGGGATTGGCCTTGACCATCCCCTCAGCAGACGGACACCGCTGCAGCTCCATCTCTAGGTCGAAGGGCTCGAACCTTTTGCTTCATTGTGGGGGCATCTGGTGTACTCTTTTTCCCTCATTAGGATTTTTTCCCACAGGGTTTTTCTTAATGAGGTTTTTAACGAGGCATCTCCCCATTGTGGATCAAAAGGTGTCAACCCTCGCCCCCCTATTGAAGACATGCATTACTATACTCCTCTTCACCTCATTACATTCACCTGAAGGAGTGGGGGACTGGAAGAGCGGGGGACTTAGCGCCTCCGCAATTGAAAAGGCACAATTTCAAAATTTTCGCAAGGTTTGTTACACACACCGACGACATCATCACATCACATACCGATTCAGCTGCCACATCAGCTAGTACATATATATAGCTCCCCGCCAATGAGATCGGATCATTGGCTTGGGAGTCCGGGTAAGGCACTTCAGCGACGACAGCAGTTTACTCACCAGACGACAACATATCAGCACACAGTTCTACGGTTCTACCCCCTTTCGGCTCGAGTACTCTCGACTCAGGGTGTGGGGGACTCCTGATAGAGTGTATAGACTTAGAACCCCGAGTCTCACTACTATTGGCCCGAACAGCGGCCCACACATGCCTTACAAATATTACTTGTATTATTGTACAGTCCAGTTTGTATTTGTATCCACTAGATTAGTTATTTAGATAGTTGGGCCTATCGGGCCCATATTAGCCCAACCCATTCTTTTTCTATTTATACTCCCCTTGGGAGGTCTTGTAAACCCTAAGTCATAATTCATGATTCATACTCTCTTCTCCACTCTCTAGCTCAAATCTCTCTATTATTATAGTTTGGATAACCCTATATTCCATCAAGGTGTGTTTGGACAAATATACCCTTGTAACTTTTGAATTGTTTTAATTAATAATAAAATCATTAAAAAATAATAAAAATCATAAAAAATAAAAATAGTAAAAAAGTAACAAAAAATTAATAAAATATTTATATTTTTTTTAATTTTTTTTTTAAAATTAAATAATTAAAAAAAAAGTAAAAAAATGCCAGCTCTGGCAGCCCCAGCTCCCATCACCGGAGAAAATCTGCCAACATTTCAAATAATGTCATAATGATGGCAGATTCAATGTAAATATTGGCATACTGAAGAGTAATTATGCCATTTTTTTGCATTTTCAGAAGAAGATGACATTTGTTTTATAAAAGTGGCAAAAATTTCACCAAATGATGGTGCTGGGAGATAGTGGGATAGGTATTTTTTTTTATGAATTTGTACTATTTATTTTTATTTTAAAAAAATTTAAAAAAGTATTTTTTTAAATTATTTTTTTATAATTATTTTGTTAATTTTTATAGTTTTTGAATGATTTTTTTTTACAATTTGTTATTGTTTTTTATGATTTTATTATGAATTAAAGCATTTTGTTTAATTCTATTTGAGGGATTTAAAAAGTAGAAGTCTTATTTGCTCCTGCAATTATCCTAGCAACAGACTTCACAGACTGATTGGAACTTAAACGATCCGGTCACCGTCGCAATTCACCCGGCCGGCAGCGGAGTGGCGGCGCCATGTATGCGCTGATTAAGAGGTCCTCCTCTGTCGTCTGCTGCAAATTCAGTTTCTTCCACACGGCCAGCTTTACAGCATCGCTCATCAACGACACTGGTCTCTACGGCTACAGTCACCTGAAAACCGCCAAAGGCTTTCAACGGTTCGCTGACGATGCTATCGAGAGGTACGCAAGAGAGAAACTCGAAAAAAGATCGAACATATATTGCGTCATTCAATTCTCGCAGCTTGTCTGGTTCAAGAATTGCCAATTACGTTCTGCTCTTAACAAATAACAATAATACATTTAATCATGCTTACTAGGTCTAAGGAACTTCTGAGTGACATTGATGCTATGCCGCCTGCTCCTGAAATCATTCAAAAAATAGATGAAATATCTGATACAGTATGTCTATGGTGTAGTGCATATAAAAAAAGATGACATTTTTTAACTTGCAAGGTTTAATTTTAGAATAATTCTGGGATATGACTGAAGGATTTCAATGTGATAGGTATGTTCTGTGATCGATGCAGCGGAACTATGTAGACATACACACCCAGACAGGTCAGTTTTTTTCCTCTGTCCAATTGAATGAATTTATACCGCTAACGTCTAGGATTAACATCTAGGTTTTTTATTTGATCCATAGGGAATTTGTTGAGGAGGCAAGCCAGGCATCTTCAAGACTTAATGACTTTTTACATGTAAGAAAGCTAGCTGCTTTGTTTGTACTTGTACACATTTAATTTGTTGCTGATAAATAACAGATGAAGATTTAAAAGAAAATATAAAAAGGTTAGTACTTATGAAATACAGTTATTGGTATCTTAAACCATCTTCAAATATAGGCAAGAAGAAAAAAAATTGAGTTATTGCCTTTACTTTTGGAAATCTCTTACCAGAAGCGTGTTCCCACTTCCCTACAGTTTTGCTTATTGTTTTTTTGCAGTACCTTAATTCAAATCACAGCATATACAAGGCAGTTTTAAAGGCAGAAAAAGAAGGAATGTCACTTACCAATGAAGGTAAAAGGGCAGCTCGCTTTCTACGGAATGATTCAGAGCATGGCGGCATTCATCTCCCCCCTGGTGCAATTCCTATCCTGAATTCACGCTTTTCTTCAAATGCTATTTCTTCCATCACCTAAGCAACTGTTTCACCTACAGAAAAACTGGATCGAGTGAATCGGCTTAGTACAGAGATTGTTCAGTTGTGTAGACAGTAAGTACATATTCATCTCTGAGTAGTTTATGTTTGTAGTTTGACAGAGCTTTGGTTTTCATTAGAAATGATGCCCTGTTGAGTCAATAGTTTTGTGTTCCTTAATAGCATTCATGGTATTCATATGTTATCTGTTCTTTGATTTGGTTTTGATACATTATTAAGACTTATGGTTCCGTCCTAAAGTGTCAACATGATAGGAGGAGGAGTTCAAGATCTTCTACATTAGTTTAATATTAGAATATTCTCTAAATAGGACCAAAACATAACATATTTTTTATTGGGACCATCAATATTTTTTCACCGAAACAGGACTCCACTCTTAAAAGAAAAATATTAAATGCATTGATTCTTTTATTAGGATTAGATCAGTTCTATTTTGGGAATAAAGCACAATCAGTTGCATTTGTAAACTTGGTCATGTTTTACTCCTATCATGGATAATTTCTTTATATTCAAAGCATTATATTCCTTTCTGCTATGAAAGGAATACAATGCGTTCATATAATTCTATACGACTATTTTTTCAGGTTTAGTACAAATATTGTCACTGACCCTGGTCATGTGGATATATATCCAGCATCACGTGTTTCTAAACCTTGGCGCCACCTTGTCAAGCCTATCTATGGTGTGCCAAAGGATACCTTAAAGGAATCCGTATGGTCTAGAGACAACATGAAGGCAAAGGGGTTCAGGTTGGTAACCTCTCCAAACAGTTTGCAGCATGTACTTCAATGTGTATCAGATGATGAGGTAACATTTTTTGTGTAGTTAACTACTTAATTGCCGTCTGTCATGCCTACATGACCACATCCTAAAACTTCTCTTTCAAATTGGATGGATGACACTTATTTGGGTTTTTGGACATAATCAACCTGCTTTTCATTTTGTTACCTTTTCGGTTTGGTTAAAAAACAGGAGCAAATGGCAGCTCCTGGAGGCCTTTTATTTGGTGGTCTTGTTGTAAGCACCTACCAAGTGCGCAAATTCTGGACCTAAGTCTATATTGAAATGTATTATGCTTTCGGGTAAGGTTGAGAAAGGAAACGAGAAACGTACCACCTTGTGAAATAGAGAATGGAACCAAATTTGCAATGACTCAATCATGTTGTTATCTTTAGGAAAGAGAACTATCTGTTTAATATGAACACATTTGGAAAAGGTAGAGTTGTCTTAGAACCTTCCTCCAAGCGGCAACTGCATTGAAGGCTGTAAATTTGTTTTAATTCTTTCTTTTCACCACCAAAGTTAGGCACATCCAGTTCTTTGTCCCTTTTATCTTCATATGTCATACTTGCTCTCTCTCTATCTCACCCATGTATTGATAAATCCCAAGTACAAGTGAAGTAAAAGAAACTTGTGAAGGAAGAAGAATCTTTGGGGCAAGAAGAGATTCTGCTTCACTATGTCATTTTCAGCTGGCTTCAACGTCAATATATGCAAAGGAAAAAACATAAACTTATGGTGACAAGTTGACAAGTTTAGTGGGTACGTGCATATCTACATAACTCCTTATTCATAGTTCAACTCATGAATAATAGGACAACTACATAACAAGCTAAGTGATGCAGCAACAAGCTAACGGCAATGTCAAACAAAATAGCTTAACTAATAAAACACTTAAACTAATTGTTTTGGGCCATCCACATATGAATTGAGTTAGTGTTTCGTTGGCCCCATGAACTACTATGGGTGAACAACTAGGAAATGATGTTACCGTATCAATGGATCACTTGATTGTGACATGATGGGTTTGTCCTAAAGGGCTTCGTTCAAGAGCATTTTTGTACAGAGGTTACTCCCAGTGCTGTTCTTTTATTTTTTATCTTTTTTATCTTTCTGTGTTCTTATGCTATTTTTATACTCCCTCCGTCCCTTAAAACTTTGCCATCTTTCCTTTTTGGGACGTCCCAAAAAACTTTGCCACTTTCCCTTTTAATCAATTATTTTGTGGTTTCTATTATTTCTCTCCTCTGTACAAACCTCAACCACACTGTTTTTACTTTATTATTCTCCGTGCCGCTCAACTTTGGCAAAGTTTTAAGGGACGGAGGTAGTATATTTTATGCTCTTTTATCTTTCTTTTTTCTTTTAGCGTTCTTATGTTCTAATGTTTTTTTTTGACCTGGTAAGTCTCCAAAAGCCCACAGGTGTTTTGGGGTGGGGGCCAGGGAACACCCCACCAATTTATTAGAATAAAAAGAGGATACATAGAGTAGGAGGACCAAACCAAAGCCTTCTCGAAATTACATAAGGAAAACTGATAGCATCTAATTTAGGAATACCAACAAAGTGATTAAAATGATGATCATTGGTTTTACCGAAGTATTTCGGTAAGCTAAATACTCAGAAGCTACTCGGATGTATGTGCGTGATAGACCATTTGTGTGTCACGAGTATCTTCTTGATATTTTGAATGTGTGGTCAGCAACTCCAATGTTGGATTGAGATACATGTGAGCCCCTCAAAGACTTCCACCTCTAGTATAATATTATTGGTACTTAGAGTCTTGAAAATAGGAATAAGATAAATCAAGGCCTCATAAGTGGCATTTGTGCTATTCCCGTGGGACGCCCAGATGGGTTTCATGCTTAACGTAGTTGCCATATTCATTACGAATGAGGGTATCCGTACGGATGAGGTTCGGTTTGAGGTTCCGAGAGGCCATGTTAATTTTGAAGTATGTGGGTGGTGGTTTTTGCCAGACGTTGAGACTAGGAGGTTTTTTTTCCTTCCTTGGAGTTACCGTACATATGTTGATCGGGATATTAGGGCTGGTACTAGGGAACGGATTGCCAACTGATGTGGCAAAAATTTCAGTTTTAATAGCATTAATGGCCTAAGTTAGGCAAGGCTTTTTATCATCAAAAATAACTTTGGTCTTATGTTATTTTTACCTTATATTTATCTTTATCTTATCCATTTTATCTCACTTTATCTTTTTATTCTTCTTATCTTTCTTCTATTTTTGGCTCTGATATCATAGATCGATTCATGTTACCAGACCTCAAAATCTTTGGGAATAAGGCTTGGATGTTGATGTTGTAGTATTAATCTTTATCTTATCCATTTTATCTAATCTTATCTTTTTATTTTTTGGAAAAAGGGTCAAATAAGCTCTTCTGCTATTTCCAATCCGTCACTTAAGCGCCTGTACTAAAAAAAGTATCATATAAGTACGTCTACTTTTAAATTACAATCAATGAAGTCATTTGACTTGCTATAGCAGGTTATTTTTAAAAGAAAATTAAATTAGGAATATTAATAAATTTTACAAAAATTCATATAAATTTGAATTAATAATCTAATAATAATATTAAAAATAGTATAAATGTAAAAAAAGATAAAATTTTAAAAACATTAAAATAAAAAAATAAAAAGTCATAAAACTGAAAAATAAACTAAAAACCTTTTAAATAGATGTAGAATATACTAATGTTTTTAACAATTTTAAAAAATTGACTTTGATATTCTGAAAATTTTCACAATTTTCGTATATATTTCTTCAAATTTTAACAATTTTTCAGAGTTTTTAAATATTTTAAACCTGCTATTAAAGGTTAAAAACTGATTAAATGGTCAAATTGATCAATTTTGTAAAGTTGGCGTACTTATATGATAGTTTTTTTAGTACAGGGGCTTGAGTGACGGATTGGAAATAGTAGACGGGCTTATTTGACCCTTTTCCCTTATTTTTCTTATCTTTCTTCTCTTTTTGGCCCTGATATCATTGATCGATTCATGTTAGCTGACCCCAAAATCTTTTGGGAATAAGGCTTGGATGTTGTCGTTGTATCATTGTAATCATGTTGTCTTCTCTTGGGATGTTTTGGGTATGGAATCGTGTTTTCTGGTTATTCATCGTCATTACAAATTGAGTGATATAAATGTTTGATTCAATGGCATCGAGGTTGTCCTCCTCAGTTTCCATTTAGAATTTGCTTTAATGCCACTAGATGGATGCATGAGCCACCAGTAGCATGCGAGTTGGAGTACATAATAATTATGACACCAAACATGCATCGTCTTATTAATAAGTGGGTGAATTGAGAATATTACATTTATCGTCTTAATGTTATGCTATTATTTTGAACATTATTGTTGCTGTATTACATAAGTTGTAATGTAGTTGTCCTATTAGGACAAGTGGACAACTAAATGTTTATTTCGGAGTTTAAACTATGACTAAGGAGTTGTTTGGATGTGCATTTGCTCTGCTAGAAATGTCGGCATAGATTTAGTTTTCTCCTTTGTATACATTGGAATGGTAGCCCACTGAAAGTGGCATGATGAAATAGAATTTCCTCCTGCAGCAAAGCTTCTTCTTCTATCTCAGATTTCTTCTTCCTCATAGAAAGACTCCCATAATGATATCAACAAGACCCCCATGACATGAATTTCGTTTGGATCAACCCGCCTTCAAAAGAATGCCTGATTTGATCAAACCATTGGCCTCATGAATACAGAAACCTAACTCCACAAACACAACCATAGGCGTGAACCCTATCATTCACGAAGAACCCATTCACAACAATTTTGAACTAACTGACCTTTAGGCGTTTCATCCAAAATTGCATGTTTTTAATTGCATGTTTCTTAGCCAGTCTTCAGGATGAAATTGAAATGTAATGGAAACCTTCTTCTCTATGGTCTTCTTCCCTGGAATTTGTCACCCTCTCTCTGAAATTTTTCTCCTCCCCTTTCAATATACTCCTGGGTTTATCATATGTAATATTCAATCCTTTGCAGTTTGCACTGAGTACACAGTAACTAGTGGAAGCCGGGATGGTGACATTGTATATTATTTTATCAATCATGTCAATTGTTGAACTCTTTACAGGTTAGGAAGATGGCATATATCAAGGGGAACACTGCCCCACGTGCAAATATTGTGATTCTTGACAAGCTAATTGATGCTCGCCATGAATTTTCTCAGGTTGTGCATCAAGACTTGCTAACCTGTGATACATTTATCTTTTATCGTATATGACATTTGATTTAATGTATTTTAAATATAACTATTTTGATTCTTCCATTCTTTTTTTACATGCTAACATATTAACCGATTCATTGATGGCACCATCAGCAGGCCAATCATTTTTCGTTTATCTCCTTATAACAAAGAAAGTTCTTTTACTTTGTTGAACAGCAAGGGAAGTTTGGATTACATTTCTTGACATCACATATAATAGATTACCATTTCCATCATTTGCAATGGAGCCAAAGATTCATTATTTTTTGGCTTGAGGTTATGATGGAATAAAGCAAAATGGCTCACTAAACTGTCTGCGCTTCTTTGTTATGGAGCAGCAGTCAGTCCATGCAATCTTGGACGCGATTTTCACTATGGGTCATCCGGAAACAGTCTCTCTGTGCTTTAGTACAGGGGTAAGACTGCGTACATCCGACCCCCCCTTACCCCACCGTAGGTGGGAGCCTTTGCGGCACTGGGGTAAATGAAAATGAAATGAAAATGAACATATAATAGATTACTACATGAAAGAGTGCATTACATAGACACCACTTAGGAGACAGCCAGAATAAATATTAAAAAAATTATGTTCTAGGGTTTAATAGGATTTTATTGTCAATCTAGGATGGCTTTACTTCTACATATTTATTATTTATCAAGGAACTGCAGTGTTTATTGTATCGTGGGACTCGTGTTCTGATTATTTCCACCCCTGTTTCATTCACTTTAAAATGATAATTCGGGTTATATCCTGGCTTCTGATTGTGCATTTTTGGAGGCTTAGATTCTTGTTGCTGCTAACTTGTTAACCAAGTACACAATTGTTAACACAACTCTTTCTATCGTTAATTTATTGTGCTTGGATGCAGATTCTAGGCTATAAGTCCTATTCTGCATTTGCTTTACATTCATCTATGGCTGCATCTCCAGAAGTTGTATTTTCCTTTCTGCTAGAGATGAGCGAACTAGTTAGAGCCAAGGCTGATAAGGTATGTTGTTCATGCTTATAAATTATTTAGTGCAGTTATTCTTAATGCACTTTTTTAGAATTTGTATGCTGAGCATGATGCTTCAATAGGAATTCAAGGCAATCAAGGAATTTAAGAGAGTCAAGAATTGTGAAAAGGGTGGAGACTTAGAGCCGTGGGATGAGGGTTACTACACATGGTTGATGAAGTCTTCAGCATACAACATGAATTCCTTGGTAACTGCAACAACTTTGTTTACACCCTACTTTTCTTACAAAGCTCAGCTTTCTGCACAAAGGGTTGGCTGTCTTTTTCACGTGTTGGTTTTTGCTTATTGTTGTTATGGGTTACAGTATTTGATTGCTGCTAAGAATTGACTTTTTCTGAGACCCACCACCAAGTGTTCTTGTGAAGGAATATATCTCCAACTGTTGACCTCAACAAATATAGACTCGGTCTTGGAGCAGTATTTTGTAAGCATTGATTATGTTGTTTGAGGAAAAACATGCCCATAATTGAGATTGTTCAGCCATGAAGATGGTAAAATTTTGTCAGTCTTTTTTCTTTGCAATCATTGACTTAGTCAACCCTAAATAAACTTAACAGTTGACAATTCTAGCTATATCAATATTTTCAAAATTACAGTATGCCAACGCTCCGAACCAAACAGTCAAACACTATGCACCCATAGCATACGTCGGTTTGTTTTTGAAAGTAAATTTTAGTAATCTCTTACATCAAATCAATAAAGTATGACTGTTTTCTCTACTCAAGGGTGTTATAGTTCTTAAAATGATTCTGTCCTCCAATCTTGTCAAGAGGGAACTTGATTAACTCTTGTGGGAAGATGCAGAGTTTTGAGAAAGTTGACCCACATAGGCTAAAGAAAAAATAACGAATCATCACAAACTCGTTGTGGTACTCCCCCTATCATGTTGAAATTTACGATGGATGGGAACCTCAAGTCTCATATGTTGATTTTGGTTATCAACAAAAGCTAGTTTTGATTTGTCACCCATGCTTATCTACTTTTACTTGCAGTTAATTATTATACTTTTCTTATTTTTCTACAAATTTTGAGTTATAAGTGTTAATGTATCTTGGAGTTTAATATATTTGTTCTATAAATTTGAATACACTTTTCTTATTTTCTATACAAATTTTGCAAAGTTACATATGTGAATTTATGTATAGCGGTTATTCAATTACGTTCTTATGTAGCTTTGGCTTCTTGATGCAATTATTAGGCTGTGGCATCATATTTTCGTTTAGCACGCTGTATTGAGGGCTTAAAGATTTTTGTATAGCGGTTATTTAATTACATTCTTATGTAGCTTTGGCTTCTTGATGCAATTATTAGGCTGTGACATCATATTTTCCTTTAGCACGCTGTATTGAGGGCTTAAAGATTTTGGTTGAGTCACTGTTTGGCATTACTTTTCGGCATATACCTCTAGCCCCTTGTGAATCATGGCATCCAGATGTGATCAAAATATTACTACATCATCCTGATGAGGTATTTTACATCATAGTGTACTTCTCTCCCTGTTTGTTTCCCATTATATTTTTTGAGTCAAAACTCTTTGTTCCTCCCTAGATATATGCACCTTTGCATCATTTTGTGTGTGTGTGTGTGTTTCATTCTGTAACAATTGTCTTATTTGGATAAGGACACTTTTCCCTAGAAAAAACACTTTTTTTACTTTTGGTCTTTACCACCCATTTATGCTTGAAGCCTTGAACCGATCCGTTTATAATCGAAATATCAGGGTGAATTGGGTTACTTATACCTAGATTTGAAGTCAAGAAAGGGTAAAGATCCTATTTGTGCCCATTTTGCCATCAGAGGAGGACGTCGTATTTCTGAGACAGAGTACCAACTTCCTGTATGTAAGATACAATTCTCTTTTCAATTGTTAATTTATTTTACATTGATATGCTTGCCTTGTATAAATATGCAGCTTTTAGAAATTATTAGGTATCTTGGCATACATTTTTTGAACTATTCAGAAGATTTACATATGCATGATAATTTGCAGATTGTTGCTCTTGTTTGTGATTTCTCTGGTTCAAGATCAACATCAGTGATGCTTAATCAACATGAAGTAGAAACACTTTTTCATGAGTTCGGGCATGCTCTTCATTCATTACTTTCAAGAACGGTATTGGATGGATTTCCTCTACAGTCTCCAGTGGGCATTACATTAGCTTCATTATGTTCATGATATTTTTTTTCATTGTCTGTTTAGGACTATCAACATTTTTCAGGGACTAGATGTGTAATTGATTTTGCTGAAACACCTTCAACTCTTTTTGAGTAAGTATAACATACTTTCGGGCTTTCGGCTTATATTCATTAGAAATTAGAATATTTTTTGTTAGTAATTTGCTTCGCCTTTTGACTAATGGGTTGCCAGCTGTTCAAAAAATATTTTACCATCAAGTTTACTTTGGTGCCTATAGGCACTTTGCAATGGATTATCGTGTTCTAAGCACATTCGCTAAGCACTACTCGACTGGTGATGCCATACCAAAAGAATTGGTGAAATCGATGGTTGGAGCAAAAAACATGTTTTCTGCAACAGAATTGCAGCGTCAGGTTTGACTTTGAGACATTTTGAAAGGGTTTTGGTACAAGTACACCCTTAATGTTTATCTCTAGTTGCAATTTGGCCCCTGATTGGTCTTAAAAATCACCAACAATAATTAATACTCCATTTGTCCCGTTGGAGTTTGTCATGTTCGACTCGCACGTGGAATAAGAAAGTATAAATTGTGTGATTGAAGTTTGTGGGAGAGAAAAATAATAAGAATCACAAGAGGGAATGGCAAAGTTTTTGGGGCAAAATAAAAAGGAAGTGTGGCAAAGTCTAATAGGACAGAACTACAATTTAATGTTTTTATGTATTTAAAAAATTGCAACCCATATACTCCGTATATTATGCTTCAAATTTTGAAGTATTTATTTCATAGTTAAAAAAAATATGTATTTATATAAATATAGTAAAAAGAATCATTTAAACCAAATTAAGATGATCATCCAGCACGTAGGCATAAACACCAAGGGTGTATCATCTTTTCTGCTTTTGACATTGATAAAGCGGCATCTAGAAACATTCGTAGACTTAAAATATCTTCAACTTACCTATGTGTTATTATCTTTGTCATTTCATCAGATATTATATGCCTTAGTTGATCAAACACTTTTCGGAGAGCAGCCCTCCTCAGGAAGAGATACAATGTCCATTGTCGCTGATCTTAAAAGGCAACACACAAGTTGGAAGCACGTGGAGGGAACACATTGGCACACCCGATTTAATCATTTCACAAACTATGGTGCAGGTACTACATGCTGCAATTTATATATATGTGTGTCTGTCTGTCTGTGTGCGTGTATATAAAGAATAAACTCGATTTCTTACTCAACATGAGGCTTATCTAACCATCGGACCGTGTTGGGTATGGTGGAGAAGCATGTAACATCAGGTATTAATTTATTTCTTACTCAACATGAGGCTTATCTAATGATTGCAACTAATGTTGGGCCCAATCCTAATTTTGGACCCCAAAAAATCAGGGCAGTACTAAAACTGTGGGTGTATTTTGGGTTTGGTTGGAGAGATGTGTCAGTTTTATTGGGTTTGAGTTATTAAAACGTGCGATTTCAGAATTAATTTATTTTAGTCCGAGTCAAAATGTATTTTCATAAACCATCATTACCTCTTGGTATACATGGATATGTCATGTGTTCATCAATCTGTTTGTAATTTTCTAATTGATACAAAAAGTAACAACAATATAATTATGATGACTTAGATATGTTATTTAAGGGTTTAATGCACCAAACCTCCTTGTGATATAGGATTCGGCGCATTAGCCCCCTGTTATTTAGAAAATGCATCAACCCCTTTGTGTTATTATTAATTATGCGCAGAATCCCTTTTTAAATCACAAGGAACTAATGCACCGAATTTCTATATCACGAGGGGGTTTGGTGCATTAAGTTGATGAAGAAACAAGTTGCCCCCACCATACCCACCAGAATAAAGTATTACAGTTTGGGTCAAATTTGTGTTTAGTTGATACTGCAAGTACTGGAAAAGTCAGGCAACATCTGTTGATTTTATTAATGTTTTTATTGGTTAACTTGGAAAGGTTACTATAGCTACTTGTATGCGAGATGCTTTTCGGCAACCATATGGGATAAGATATGCAAAGAGGATCCACTCTCAGCTGCAACAGGTTCAGCTCTCAGGGAGAAGTTACTGCGGCATGGAGGAGCGAAAGATCCTACTGATATATTGAACGATCTTGTTGGTGGAAATGGTATTACCAAGACTTCAGGCGAAGGTGTGATACCTGATGTTACATGCTTCTCCAACTTGCAGGAGTTGGAGCTATAGAAATGGCAAGTAACCCTTGGCTCTAATGATGTAAAAGAATCTTGAGCATATGAACTCTCATGTCCATTCTCATTTCTCAACTTAGTTGCCTTCCACATCCGCATCTGGTGTTGCCTTTTCCCTTTTCCCGGTAGTAAGCTGTCATGATGCCTATCGCGATTTTGTATTTTTGGTAAAAAAATTAACTGTTTTTCCATCATTTGCAATGGAGTCAAAGATTCACTGTTTTTTTGGCTTGGGAATATGATGGAATAAAGCAAAATGACCCTCTTTAGCCCATCATAGGTGAGAGCCTTTCGAGATGATGGTGGTGGTGGTGGTAAAAACTTAACTGCTATACGCCTTATCTATAGCATATGGGTATTTTGTTTCAAAACTAGTAATTATAACTTGTATTATAGGATGGTCATGGTTTTGCTCAAGCCAGGTGTTCGATGTCTGGTTGTAATATCTGGTTGTCTATTCCTCCTTTATTCATTACGAATGTATTGAACAATGATTTTATTAATGCTAATTAATTTTATTTCCCTAAAAAAACTTGTATTATAGAATGGTCAATTTGCTCTAAATTAATTTCATTATTGTTTTAGCTATAATTAATGTTTCATGGCCGACTCGGATATCTATCATCTAGGTAAAGAGGTATTTATATCTAGGATTTTTTTTAGTTTGATATGGTAAACTGCTTTGATGAGTTGATCCTATCCGGCTTTCATCGCTTTGATCGTTTGTTATGGAGTGGGAAAGGAAAACTATTAAATTAAATTGTTAAACTCAGAATGCTATCTACTACTTCCTCCGTCCCGCTAAGATTGTCCCATTTTACCTTTTTTGGAAATCTCACTAAGACTGTCTTATACCAAATTTAGTAAAGTTTGTGTGGCTCTTAATCATTCTTACTTTATCAATTCAATTTTAACTACATAAACTCAATTTTCTTAATAATAGTGTCATCTTCTTTCGTCCCAATGTTAGTGGGACGGAGTGTTAAATGAGTGATTAAGTTATTGTGAAAATTTGTCTTCTTGATTTTTTTTTGAATCTGTCACTGAACGTCTGAAAGGATTTATGAGTGTACGAAAACATGTTTGCACATTTTATACATCAAAATTTATTTACAAAAATGTGACTAATAGATACGTAATATTATACTACAATCTCATGATCACTTAAGTATAAAAGTTGACTACAAATTAGTATGGCTATCTTACTACTATAACATTTAGGTCACATCTTTATAAACCACACTTTTTTAATAATATTTCTACGTATGTTGTTATAAGTTTAAAAGATGAAACATATACGGCGTTTTATATTCACCAATTCCAAAACAGAATTTATTTAACTTTGTTAAAGCTTAAATAGAATAAAAACTCCTAATCATTTGGAAAAGGCACATAACCACTTTTGTAACACCTTGATTATTAGAACATTTTTTATTTTCACGTGGTTGAAACTTTAAATTACCATTCTTTTAAATTAAAGCAAGTTAAGAGACGATGTTAAACTTCGAGTAGGTGTCTACGACCAAATCACTCGTTGCTTTTTGACTTTGTGCACAAATCACCTAACAAGTAACAAATAAGTAAAGGGCTTATTCTTTGAATATTACTAAATTAAATCCAATTTCCAAAAACGTGACCACTTTTACAAAAGGATAAAAAAGTGACTAAGAAAGTAAGAAGGTTATATATTTAGAAAAACATGATGTCACTGTTGAATTTCATGTCACTGTCGCATGTCACTGTCGCTATCGTCCGTGTCACTGTCGCCACCGCCCGTGTCACTGCCGCCACCACCCGTGTCACTGCCGCCACCACCCGTGTCAGTGTCGCCACTTTCGATGTCACTGACATCGTAAAACATGTCACTGTGATCGTCGGAAAATTTTCCGGTGACTTTTTCTGGCAAAACAGTGACCATCCAACACTGCCATCAACCACCCCGCCAGCACCACCATCCAACCACCACTCTTGTACCTCCTTAGACTGCCCATGCCCATACCCCTCCCCATCCCCACGCCCCAAGTCACTCCATAGGCCTTGCTGCCGCCAAAGTTAAGCTTACAGCCGCACCGTCATCGACTAAACAAGCCAGAACACCATTAATTCAACCCCAAATCGGTGAAGCACAGATATGGTTGGACTCGGGTCGGGCCACCCGGCCCGTGGACCGGCCCGGCCCGGCCCGCTACTGTGCGGGACCGGCCTGGTTCTCGGGTTCGGGTCGGGCCTAGGCCCGGTGGGTAGTGCGGGTCCGGGCTCGGGTCTCACTTTTGGTGAACTGGCCCGGATGGGTCGGGCCCGGGTTCGGGCTCGGGTCTCACTTTTGGTGAACCGGCCCGACCGGGTCGGGCCCGGGTCCGGGCCAAATTGAATTTTATTTTTTTTTTCATTTTTTGGGGTTCCACCCGGGTTGGGGTTGATGGCTAGGAGGGGTTTGGGGGGTTGGGAGGGTGGGGGTGAGGGGGGGTTAGGAAAGCAAAAAAAAAAACAAACCGGAGGCCCGGCCCGGCTTGGACTGGACCCGGTGGCTACCCGGGCCGGTCCCGGGTCCACCATTCCTGAACCGCCGGCCCGCCCAGGCCTAGGCCCGACCCGGACCCGGCTCGGACCCGAGTCCAACCCTAAGCACAGACCAAGATCTGGAATTCGTGAAGAACAAATTGAACTTGTCGTTGTCCAGATCCAGCAACAGCATGGGTCACCGGATACAATAAATCGAGCAACGACTTGAAAACCTAGCCACCATGGCCGTCGCTGCCAATAAAGGAGAGGAATAACCGGATAAAAGGAGAGGCAGAGCAGCGATGCCGTCGTTGTTGCCAGGCGATTGCGCAGAGCAACAACTTTGGCCATCAAGGCGGAGGTGAGGCTATGGCTAGGCGGAGGCGAGGACGGCGCTTTGGCGAAGGAAGATGCTCTGTTCGCTAGGAAGTCATGCACATATATGTCGCTGGGGAAGAAGAAGTGCGCAAAGAAGAAAAGTGTCGGGTCACTTTTGTGGACTTCTTAAAATTGGTCATATTTTTGTCTCACATAAGCTGAGAAGTAATAGTGGTGCCATTCTTTCATAAGTAAATAACCACAAGGACCATAATGTACGTTATTCTTTCACTCATACTTGTCTCCATTGTATTTTTGTGTATCATGATCAGTGTAATTAGAAAAAAAAGATAAGTTTTCGAATTTATTAGTCGACACATATTTCCCTAAACACCCATCAAAAACCATTTCCCCAAAAATGTGCAATACTTGAAAATATATAACTTCCACCAACTACTCTGGTCAACTCGTGAGCAACTCTTTTCGTTTATCGCCTAACAAAAGAAAAGGCAATACTAGAAAACCTTATGTTAATATCACAAATGTCCTCAACCAAAATACTAAGACTCGATTCACTACAAATTTCCGAACTACTTGTGCATCAGTTTCAACCTCCACATAATCTCAGCCCTAATTTTAATCCAACTAAGCGTTTCCCGAATGCTCAGCAATTCAACTTCTAATGGAGAGCAATATCCCCACGTAACTAGGCCTAGCACCTCCCGCCATAAAATTTTGTTAAGATGCACGATTCTGCTATTGCGTCTGGATATAAACAATATTTGTATTCAATAAATAGTTGATACAAATACATGCCACGTATAAATAATTGGTAAGATAACATGTAAAAATATTAATAATAAATACTCCGCAAAATGCTTATATGGGATTAATATGCATAATTAAACATATTACTCCGTATTACGTAGTAGCGTAGTACTTAGTCCTAGGTATAATAACTTAATCTCTATCTCTAGCTTGGTCAATCTAGCTCAACAAAGGCCTTAATTATGACCTCGTTTCTCTTCAGGGATGGAACCACCTTATAGCTTGTGGTGTCAATTGACGAAAAAAAATCTATATATAGAGGTATGTATAATTTTTTTTTGAATTAAAAATTGACACCACCGAAAAAATAAAATCCACACGTAGGTATATACGAAGTATAATTTTTCAAAAATTTAAAATTGAGACCACCACTTAAAAACTAATGGGGTCAAATATCTATTTTAAAAGATGGAGCATTGACTTAAAAAATGAAAAGTCAAAACAAAGCAAAATGAAAAGTTTGGGCGGTTAGCTACTCCACACGCCTCCACGTCAATATAGGACTGAACGATAGAAAGTTTTCAATCTAGAACCTACAATTTTATGAATTGTAATATTTTTATATTATAAAAACATTTAAAATTATTTAATTTTATTAAACTAATAAACTTTCGTAAGGAAAAAATCATCAAAAACTAACAATGGAATTTATAAAAAAAATTAAATAAATTGAAAGATATGATATTAAAGGTCTTAAAAGGATTATGTTCAATCATTCACATCCTATACAGACACATTGTATCTTTCAGGTCATTTATTGATAGTGAACATATTTTTCAAGTTCTAAATTAATAAAAATCCCTTAACAATACACTAATGTCTAATAATAAGTTAAAATAACTTTGATTTTATCTGTGGAGACCGTAAGTGTAACACCACCCCCAAATATATTTACTTTTTAGTAACTCATGTAACAAATCTTGAGTATTGATTTATGAATTTACGTGGTTGTAAATTTTTGGTTATTTCTTTCGCGTGAATAGTGAACTGCACGTGGGGCCCACAACGGAAGCGGGGACCGTCCGGTAATCCCGGGACCACATATTATATTCATCTTGGTCTAGATAATATTTATATGATGGTATATATTTTTGTTGGGCCATAGAAAGGGTGTAGGGTTGACCCGTCGGTCAAACGAGGCCCAATTACCGGTATTAGTAAATTATCGGGTAACAGTCCGAAACGAATTTCGGAGACTTCTAAATTAAAGTTGGGGTATGTAGATTCATTCTAAAGACCCATAATGATGGAGGACACTTAATATATTTTATTTGACCCGATAAAATAAAATATAGTTAAAACAATCCGAGAAATACAACTTTCGGGGTCGAATATACAATTCGAGGTTTAAAGGGATGACCTCCCACATGTGTGGGGGCCATCCCATAAATTTGGTCACTTAAATCAGGGAGTTGGCCGGACTGTTATTGGGGTTGAAATAGAGAGGGGTGGGGTAAAAGGCATCAAACAAAAAGGGTGGGCCTTCCCCCCACACCACTCATGCCTTTGAGACAAAAATAGGAAACCCCAACTCTCTTGCCTTGATAATTTCGGCCAGCCCACTCCAATCAAGAGCAAGAATCTCTCCATCCATCTTTCCCCATTGTTGAGAAGAACTCAATCAAGCAAGGAGATCAAGGAAGGGGAAGAAGTTGCAAAAGTGGAGAAAAACCTTGAAAATAAAGGTGAGGAACTCCTTAACCACTTTTCTTCCATCTTTTGATTTATCATATGGCTTATATAGCATATGAATGACCCCTAGGATTGTTCTACATGTTTAGAAGTGTAGAATGAGGGGTTGGAAGGTAGTTCTAAGACCAAGAACGGACTTAGAAGCCAAAACGACCGGTTCGCCGGAAAATAACCTTTTTGAGGTTATTTGTGT